CCCCCCGTCTGCCCACCGGGGTCAGCAGAAGGAGCGCTCCCTCCTGGACTTAAGGTCAGACTTTTCCTGGAAGAGCTTCACACGTCTTCCTCCTCCGGCGCCATCCGGCTGGAGCCCAGAGGCTCGTTAGCGTTAGCTTTAGCGTTAGCATTAGCATTAGCCGCTAACCAATGGGGGCCAGAGGCAGGACGGGGGCCTCTGGCGGCCATTTTGTGCCCTCTGGCTGCTCAATTCTCCATTTTACTCCAGTTTCCCCTCTTGAAAAGGTAGTTAGCTTCCAGAGGGTCCACAGGATTGATTCTTTCCTTTCTCTTTTATTTGAAAGTTGTAGAATCAACAATAGTTGTTTTAGTAGGTGAAAAACCTTTAAACATTAAATTAGCAAAATGATCCCTGAAACGAAATATACCACAAGATCTGCAGGGCTCAGAAACACTGAGGATCTCTGCTCAAACAGTAAGGGTCGGGTTCCCTTTTTGGGTTTTTATGGGTTTTAATGGGTCTAAATTGAGTTTTTTGGGGGTTTAAATTGGGTTTGTATAGTTTTTTATGGGTCTAAATGGGACTTTTATAGGTTTTTAAGGGTTTTCTATGGGGTTATTATGGGTTTTTGAAGGTTTTTATGGAGTTTTTATAGGTTTTTCACGGGTTTAAATGGGGTTTTATGGGTTAACATGAGGTTTTTATGGGTTTTTTATGGGTCTGAATGGGGTTGTTATTGGTTTTTAAGGGTTTTTATGCTTTAAATGAACGATATTAAAGCAGGATTAGAGCTGCATGCAGGATTTCATCAGTAAGAAATAGTTTCAAAAACACTTTGGAGAATAATCCTTATGATCTGAAGTCCTGCACGAGAGCTTTACCCTTCTGATTTCCTGTTCTGATGGACCAGGATCCTTCTTTTCTTCTTTGACCTTTGACCTCTGGGCCTCATATCAGACACTACTGTTTAAATCTAAAGGAAAATGCTTTTAGACATTTGATCCAAACGGGCCAATGGGAGCAGGGCTGCTGTCCCATGTGACCTGAGAGAGGAGAGGATACTGTGTGGGATCCATTTAGATGGAGGAACCTCTGAGTGGGGAATTCTGTAGAAAACCACTGAGAAACCAGCTTTTTAGGGCTTTAGATGAAGGAGAATCGTTGTTGTGTTCAAAGAATTCAGAAATCTCAGCTTTTCCTGCTTTTTTCCTGTTTAAATCTAAAGGAAAATGCTTTTAGACATTTTCCACCTATCAGGTTCTGATTGTGGGATTCAAATGTTGTAAATAAGTCATTTGGACCCTCAGAACTAAAATTAATTAAATCTGTAAAGAGACATTTTAAATCTAAAGATAAACCCATTGAGCCTCTAGGAAGAAAAACTACCTGAACCAGGACAAAGTCTGCTTCTTAGACTGATCCACAGATCTGGACCAGAGCAGGTAGAAGCTTTTGGCTCTCAGGAGGATAAACTGGACTTTCAGGCTTTGCTGGGGCAGCTTTTTAAAGCCCCCCTGGTGGGGTTACAAGCCCCCCCCTCTGATCCCTGCTCTCCATTACGCTGTCCCCTAATCCCCAGCTATCAAAGCCGTGTAGCTCCTAATCCTCTGACTATCTATTACCAGATCACCCCCCCAGACCCCCCCCCCCCCTATTTTTCCCCTTTGTGCGCCCTTCTGCTGAGAGACGAGCCGATAATGTCAGAGCTGGAAGTCTGAACCACTGATAGCTGGATCTGGGTCCCTCTGGTTTTGACTCTGGTTCTGGTCCTGGTTCAGGGTTTTTTGGTTCTGGGTTCCTCTGGCTTAACTCCAGTTCTGGGTCCCCATGGTCCTGGTCCTGGTCCTGGTTCTGGGTCCCTCTGGTTTTGTTTTGGGTCCCTTTGGTTCTGGTTCTGAGTCCCTCTGTTTCTGGTTCTGGTTCTGGTCCTGGTTCTGACTCTGGTCCTAGTCCTTGTCCAGGTCCTTGTTCTGGTCCTAACTCTGGTCCTGGTCCTGTTTCTGGTCCTGGTCCTGACTCTGGTCCTAGTCCTTGTCCAGGTCCTTGTTCTGGTCCTAAC